GGCTGTTCACAACTTGGTTATCTAGTGTATCTTCAATTAAGATCACTATAATATCTTTCAGAGTTATTGTCTGAATCCCGATATACAAGGTATGTCCCATAAGTTCCCGGACTGGGTCCATAAAAAAATAAATAATTGAAAAATGTAAATAAATTTGACTGTTTATTATAGAAAAAATATCTGGCAACACGGTGGTACCAATATCGAGGCTGTACGTGCGCGCGCGCCAAGGTCATTCTAATTTATTTAAAGGTTACACCTAGCGCTGCGGCGATTTTACGATGGAACAAAAATTAAAGAAGAGGATTTGCATAGAATTTTGTGGGAAACTTCAAATATCAGCAACCGAAACTTTTGAAATGCTTAATAAAGCATTCCCCAATGACCCCCCAAAGAGAACAACTGTTTTTGAATGGCATTCTAGATTTGAAGCTGGCAGAATATCTATTGAAGATGATCCTCGTCAAGGACGCCCAAAATTTCAAAGGACTGATGAAAATGTGAAAAAATTCACCGATTTGATAAAAGAAAATCCTCGAACTACTTTGCTGGAGCTAGAGCAAGACACAGGCATCTCTAAAACAACGATTGGAAGGATCGTAACCGAAGATTTGAGGCTCAAAAAGACTCCTGCAAAATTCATCCCAAGATTCCTCACTAATGAGCAAAACCTGTGTCGGCTTGCAACCTGTGAGAACATGTTGGAAATGACAAGAACGGATCCGGAATGGAAAGACAAGATAATCACAGGCGACGAGACATGGGTCTTTGGCTATGACCCTGAAACCAAGCGTCAATCTGCCGAGTGGAGAGGTCAGGGTGCGCGTAGACCAAAAAAATCCAGGATATTGAAATTCAGAAACAAGGTGTTGCTGGTCGCTTTTTTGGATAACAAGGGCATTGTTCATCACGAGTATCTTCCTGCAGGCCCAAGAGTTATTAAGGAAATGTATTTGGGCATTCTTCGCCATCTAAGGGAAGCGATTCTAAAAAATAAAGGCCAGAAAAATGGTCTAATGGTGACTGGATCCTACACCATAACAATGCCCGCCCTCACACAGCCCACTTGGTGACGAGTCTTTTTGGCTAAAAACGGGACAGGAATCCTACCTCAACCACCCTATTCCCCAGTCATCGCACCAAATGACTTTTTCTTGTTCCCCAAACTTGAAGCAGTTCTAAAAGGAAGACATTTTGACACCAGGGATTACATAATAGAAAAATCGCTGTTGGCATTAAAGAGCATTCCAAAAGAGGCCTATAAAAACTGTTTCGACAATTGGGAGAAACGATGGCGCTGGTGCGTTGAAGCAAGGGGAATTTACTTTTAAAAGTTTTAATTTTTTTTTTAATTCTTACCTTTTTTTATGGACCCAGTCCGGGAACTTATGGGACATACCTTGTACATGCTGAAAGGTACAACTTCCATAAGTTTTGTCTATGAGTGTATACACGCTTGGTTATCTCGTGTGTCTTCAATAAAGGTCACTGTAATATCTTTCAGAGTTATTGTCTCAATCCCAATATACATGCTGAAAGGTACAAATTTCTTAAATTATTTTCATGAGTGTAGACTTGATTATCTCGTGTATCTTCAATAAAGGTTACTGTAATATCTTTCAGAGTTATTGTCTCAATCCCGATATACATGCTAAAAGGTTCAACTTCCTTAAGTTCTGTCCATGAGTGTAAAAAGCAATATGTTAGTGTTAGGCAGTATTCCTTATTTATTTGCCTAAGTCTACAGGCGTTATCTTCGATCACAGTTACTAGGTCATCTTATCCTTACTTTTTACATATTACGCGAATAAAGAACGTAATTAAATACAGTGGACCCTCGGTTTGCGAGCATAATCCGTTCCAGAGCCATGCTCGTACTCCAAAACGCTCGTAGTGCGAAACTAATTTCTTATTTTTAATAATTGAAACTCGGGCAATTCTTCTTGCTACGAACAATTGCACAGTTTCCCACATTTTACATATTTCCCGAATCTGATCTGAAGGGAGGGATCCCAGTGAATTTTCATCCATCACGATTACGGGCAACCATCACGAGTTGCTCGTAATGCGAAATTTCACTCGTAATCCGAGGTAAAATTTTCAAAAAATTTGCTCGTACTGCGAAAAGCTCGTACTTCAAGGTGCTCGTAAACCGAGGGTCCACTGTAATACAAAATATATGTAGTATGATTAGTATATCTTTAAAAGAATAGATATTTCGGCCAGATAAAGTGTTATTTTATCAACGTTTCAACAAAAAACTTTGTCATCGTCAGGAGAAATATAAATAAAGCATTTGGCAAGGCGCTAAGATGCTTTATTATTTCTCCTGACGAAGATGAAAGAATTTTGTTGAAACGTTGATAAAATAAAACTTTCTATGTTCGAAGTGTATATACAGGGTGTACCAGGTATATTGGGACTAACTTTGACAATCCATAAAACAAAAACTACTTGAGATTAAAAACTTGTTTTTTTTTTTTTCATTACGTAGCCATATTCATGTAAAATGCAACAGTACATGTGTGCGCGGTGTAGTGATGAAGAGTAACCGAGAATTTGAAAATCGAGCTGCCATCATCGTTGCTCTGCGCGCCGGAAGGAGCCCCAAAGAGATAGTGGATTTTCTTAAGTTGCCCAAAACCACTATTTATCGTGTCAAGAAGCAGTTTGATGAGGCCGACAGTAACAAAGAGGGGATAGCTACAAGGAAAAAGCACTCGCGTCGATCGGACAGGGTAAGAGGCGAAGAATTTGTCAAAAATGTCAAGGAGAAGATTGATGGAAACCCTGGGAAGAGCATGAGGGCCATAGCCAAGGAAATGGACGTTGGCTCTATGACAATTGTCAGAACTATCCATGAGGACCTTGGTCTTAAGTCTTATGCCCTTCGGAAAGGTCAGTTGCTGACTGAGAATATGAAGAATAACAGAAAAGGAAAGGCTGCTGCCCTCCTCAACAACCTGAAACACGACTCTTTTGGCATGCTAAGGTTCTTCTCTGACGGTAAATCCCAGGAATGATCGCTGGATCTGTAAAGACCCCTCAGAGATACCTGTCGTGATGCACACGAAATTTCCTGCCTCCGTAATGGTCCTTGGCGTTATCAGCAGTGAAGGTGATGTCATGCCTCCCCATTTCTTTGAGAAGGGCCTTAGGATGAACGCTGACACCTACATCAATGTTCTGGAGACCGTTGTGAAGCCTTGGATGGACATGGTGGCCGCAGGAAGGAAGTATGTCTTCCAACAGGACTCAGCTCCAGCCCATAAAGCAAAAAAGACACAATCGTGGCTGACACTTAACGTCCCTAGTCACTGGGGTCCTGATATTTGGCCCCCTAATTCTCCAGATTGCAATCCCCTCGACTACTATGTATGGGGCGTTGTTGAGAGAGATGTCAACAAAGCTCCTCATACCACCATCCGGTCTGTCAAGAAAGCAGTTCACACGGTGATGACCCAAATGGACAAGGTCATCGTCGCCAAGGCCTGTGCTTCATTCCGCACTCGCCTCGAGACTGTTGTAGCTAATAATGGAAACTACATTGAATAAATAAAAACTATATCCTTTTATCTACTACTGTGTCAAATTTCATTCGGATATTTTAATTTTTACTTGCAAAAAATTTCAGTTAAACTACCATTGTTGAAATTCCCAATTTACCTGGTACACCCTGTATATATATATATATATTAAAAATAACGCCTATTTTGGATTTAAATACGATTATTTATTAATCCGATATTTTGATGGACTAATCTTCCATCTTTTACGAGGTGTTTTGCAGTGAAGCACGCAGCAGGTCGCGCGCCCCAGGTGAGCCACTAGAAGACGTCTTCTAAGCTTATTGGGCGATAAACCATCTAATATATACATTCTAGACAGAGTAAATATAATCAAAAGAAAAAAAGTGATATATGTAAATAACTTCTTTTGATCATATTTACTCTGTCTAGAATGTATATATTAGATGGTTTATCGCCCAATAAGCTTGGAAGACGTCTAGTGGCTCACCTGGGGCGCGCGACCTGCTGCGTGCTTCACTGCAAAACACCTCGTAAAAGATGGAAGATTGATCTATCGAAATATCGGATTAATAAATAATCGTATTTAAATCCAAAATAGGCCTTATTTTTAAAATATAAATGTATTATGGATTGCTCTATATTCAGAATATATATATATGTTATATTAAAATATTATTTAATTAAAAATATATTTCATAGATTCAATAGGTAGGTTAACTATACATATTTACAACAATGAGAAAATATTATTCTAAAACTATGGTCAAAAATTAAAAGAATAGACAAAGATGAAAATAAAATACAGGTTTTTAAAAAATAAAATATTTGAATTTTAGATTATATAATATATACTAGCGGATATGTACCCGGCTTCGCCCGGGTTTATCCGAGTGAAAGTTTGCCTAACGAATATTATTGATAATAATATTCCGGAACACACAGAATATTATGATAATAATGATTATAATATATAAAATAAAAGGATTTAAAAGCGCGAATGTTTCCTTTATACATAAAACGAACTTCTAAGGAAACATTCGCGCTTTTAAATCCTTTTATTTTATATATATAGATGGCGCGTTATTGCTTTGTGTTAATGATAATAATATTCGTTACATTTATATTTATATAATATGTAAAATATAATTTTCGGGCAAACATATCCTCTCTCTCTACTGAATAGATTTTTAAAAAAGATATATATAAATAAAAATATCTAGAGATATTCTACTTTTCTTTTTTTTTTTGCTTATCCCTAGTACACGTGGTACAGGCCATGATAATCATGGTGGGTAGTTAGCGACTGCTTTTACTGTAAGTGCACCACATGTCTACACATGTGAAAAGCAGTTCAACTTTGCACTTACTAATGCCAGAGCCCCGTTTGGTTACTTACACTCGCTGGTGGGGTTGGACTTTTGCAAGAATCGGGGGCCATTGGAGCATTTTTTTTCTTTAAACAGAAAAAAGTGTCCAATGCGGGAATCGAACTCGGGTCCTAGTGGTCGAAAACCAAACGGTTTAACCAGCCTTCCACCGACCCCCCGATATACTACATGATCTTAGCCAAACGGCCGAGAAACGATATTTTATATATAGAGATAACCTGGCTTATTGTGTCTTCTGCTCGAGTGAATGTTTCGCTGGTATATTTTGATCCTGCCTACCAAAAATTATTATCTGGCTCGACCGTGGTCTGCTTTAGTGAATATTCCTCTAAAGAATTTTGTTTATGTCAATCAAGCATGATACAGCAATATTGTCATTTCTGACTAAAAAAAAATTGTTGCTCAGTACTTGGTTAATTATATAGTTTTTTTGTTAAAGTGCGGCGAAAAAACTCTTTCAGATTTAACTCTCTGTCCTGTTCAAATTTCAGCGAAATTAGTTACATATTGAGGGCGTGCATAGCTGACAAACATATATATATACAAAGAAATAACGCGCCATCTATACATATAAAATGAAAGGATTTAAAAGCACGAATGTTTCTTTTATACATAATACAAACTTCTACTGCCTTTACTGTGATGAAAAACCTATATTGGGAGGGCTTGGCTCATCAGTGGTGAACCCTTCCAGCAGTTTCGCCAATTTAATCCACCAGACCGCTTCTCAGAGCGCTAATACTGTATTGGACGATTCTGCTTTTATACGCAGCACTGAAAGATGGAATCTCAGAAATGGTTTTCAAGAAAACTATGTACATAAGCTTATAGGATAGTAGAATTATATTCAAATATTTGCATCGAGCAATGCTCTTCCGCAAACAATAAAGACAAGGCCAGTTAGAAATAAATTAACACAAAGCAATAACTGATTGTTCTTTCTGATCATTCACCTACCTGATCAAATACCTCTCTAAGCGTCCTTTCTGATCATTCACCTACCTGATCAAATGCCTCTCTAAGCGCCCACCTCTCTGAATGTCCTTTCTGATCATTCATCTCCCTGATCAAATACCTCTCTAAGCGTCCTTTCTGATCATTCATCTCCCTGATCAAATACCTCTCTAAGCGTCCTTTCTGATCATTCATCTCTCTAATCAAATACCTCTCTAAGCTTCCTTTCTGATCATTCACCTACCTGATCAACCACGATTTGTACCATGTTAATTAAAAACTAAAAAATGAAATCACTCACTATATTTTTGATTGCTCTGCTCTGAAAGAAGAAAGAAGAACCCTTATGCTCAAAACTGGGCAACTCTGTGCTTCACTTCCATCAATAATTGACAATGTGAACCAGAATAAGTATATTGCTACGGCGTTTTATGGTTTCCACAAGTCCATATCTCAGAAGAAGGCCAAGTGACACTCACTCCTCACTTTCTTACTGCTACTCTTTTTGTGTTGTTTTTCTTGCTTCCCTCTTTCTCTTTCTTATTTTTCTCTTTTTTTTTTCTTCTTTTTCTTCTGTCTAAATCGTTGTTTCCTTTGTCTCACTGATTTGTTCTTATGCTAACCTCTGGTGAATCCTGTGAAGGGTCAGTGACCCTAAATAAAGGCTTTTTGTTGTTGTTGTAAAATACCTCTCAAATGTCCACCTCTCTGAGCATCCACTTTTCTGATAAGCCACCTACCTAAAAAGCCTGAACAACTACCACTTGCAAATTTCTCATTCACTACATCAAACCTTCACTTATATATATTTATATCGTTTGGAGCTTTTAAATTTATATAATTAGTGAATTTATTTGCCTCCGTTTGGCTTTGTAATTTTCAGTTGGTTGATATAGCTTCTCAATGAAAGATGGGTATGACCTGTTGGGGAATCTAAAGAAACCTCTTATAAGCGACCACCTCTTTTGAAAGTCCATGTAGTCTTGTTGGCCTCCTTTAGAAGGTTTTACCTCCACACCTAAGAAATATTTGACTAGACGAATTACCTAAATTTTAACAGGTTCTGTTTGAGCGAATACTTGCCTAACCAATATTATCTTTTAGGGTACCTATACCCTACAGAGTATTCACCCAGGTGTATAATTGTTTATAAAAGATGAGTTAGTTATTTACATACATCGTTCATTTACATATTTATTTACATACGGTTCTCTTTTCTCAATGTTTCTTCTCTTGTCCAGACCTGTAAAACTTGTAAAGAGACAATGTATTGGATTTATTCTTTGTCGTCCTAGACAAGAGTGCCTCCAGAACAAGATGATTTGATAAATATTTATGTAAAAGAAGTTCCTTTTCACTTATTAACTTTAAACAGAAAAACATGTGGTGCTCCAGTTCCGAGTCGGTTTTTTTTTTTTAAATTACATAAAGAACATATTCGGTTAGTTAAGGTAAATATAGCGTGGGTTTCTTTAAACGGTGAAAAATTTAGGTTAAATATAATATAGAGTAATGAATACATTAAGAAGCGAATGTTTATTTTCACGAATAATTCAAACTCCCACTGTTCATATTGCAATGAAAAATATATTGGAAGGGCCTTGGTTCATCAGTGGTGAACCTTCCCAGTGGTTTCACTAATTCAATCTACCAGACGCTACTTTAAAGCTCTAATACTGTATTGAATCATTCTTCTTATATATGCTACACTCTAAAATATATCCTGAAAATAGAGGTTGCCTGGCCGGCATTCATATTTATATGGAAAATAGATACTTCATACAGTTAGAGTTTTTTTTTATTTTCTCAATGTTTCGACAAAGACAAAGGTTTTTCTTCGAAACGTTGAGAAAATAAAAAAAACTCTAACTGGCCGAATTGTCTATATTTCATAGAAACTCTAAAATTCACACACACACACACACACAGTTATCTTATTAAATCTTAAATTTGAAATATCTCTTCATTAAAATATGGATCAAAAATAGTTAGGAAGAGCACATTTGAAAGGTTTTAATAATTCCATCTAATGTGTGTATATATATTATATAATCTAAAATACAAATATTTTATTTTTTTGAAAAACATATATTTTATTTTTTCATTCATTGACTGTTCTGCATTTTTGACCATATATTAAAAAAAATATCACTTTTAATTATTGTTGTTGTAAATATGTATATTTAACCAACCTATCTTTTATCCACGATTATAGAATTCATTATATAAATTCTATATTCCTGTGATATAAATAATTTTATGTATATTTTTACTTCAAGAGATTCAAAATAAAAATCTGCTTGAAAGGTAAATAATTATTTTTATTTTTCCACGACTGCACCTCTTTTCAACAATCAAACACACAAAAAATTTCTAATCTATAACATAAGCCGACAGGATTTACCTAATTTTTATTAAATTTTCTATCAATTTATTTGAAATTTGTGTGGACAAAATGGCAAAGGCAAAAAAAGAAAAGGAAGAAATAGAAAATGTAAATCATTTGATAATGCCAAATTTTGTAAAATAGCATCCAAATTTGAATATTAAAACGTGGCTGAATAATTTTGAATTGAAATGCGATTCCTACAATTTAGATGCCCAATGGCGAATATTGCACCTATCTGATTACCTGCAGGATGAAGCTTTGATCTATCACTACGAAATTTTGAGCAACATCAGAAATTGGCCTGAGGCAAAAGAGAAGCTGATTAACAGATTTCAGAAAATTGAATTAACGCCATTAGTGGAAGCTATTAAAGTATATCAGGGCGAACAAGAAACCATCTCGGACTATTATCATAGAAAAATCAAAATGATCAATTTAGTCGACTTACCATCTAAATCAATAGTTGAGCTACTCAATGAAGGAATCTTGAAAAATTATAAGCCCTATCTTGCCATCATTGATACGGACCAGCCCTTAAATTGGCTAACCATGGCCATTAAAGTTGAAAATAGCTTAACGGGATCTGGAACGCCGGTGGAAAAGGGCCGTCTCCAGACTTTGAATCCAGCGCTTCACCCATCGCCTAGACCTGCCGGATATTATGGTAACTCGCAAGTGCAGAGGCCACCAATGCCTTGCCGAATTTGCGAACGTCTGGGATTGGAGCTTCAATGGCACTACCACTCAGTGTGCCCATACCGCAGCCCAACAGCTTCCAGATCTCCGGCCACTCCCCGTGTCCAGCGCCCAACAGCTTCCAGATCCTTCTCTTCAGCCAGTCCCCACTCCTACCAAGCCGCAGCTTCTAGTTCCTTCCCTCCACCCACTCCCCATGACTACCAACCGACAGTTCCTAGTGCCTCTTCACCCGATTCTCCCAGGTACTGGCCACTGAAGAATACTACCCCAAAGCCCATAAACCCAGGTAGAACATTATTATTATTTTCTGTTCTTATAAATCAGGTATCCTTGCCCTGTGTACTTGATACTGCATCATCAATATCTATTATCCCATTAAAATACTTAAATTATATTCATTATAAAATGTTAGATAATTCCCCAAATGACAAAATAGGTCAGGTAGAAGGATTTAGTTATCCATTATACAAAATATTAGTTAGGCTTAGCTTAGGTAAAATTACAAAATATCAAGAAATGTTTGTTTGTGATACTCCAATAGAATATATTATTTTAGGTTTACCAATATTTTATAAATTTAGATTACAAATAGATTTCTCAAAAAAACCTTCTTTTTCAAAATTATAAATTCTTGTATTCCTTTAATCCAAAAACTAATAACCAAAAGTCATATGCTACTACCCTATGTATTCCAGACCCATACTATGTTAAAAATTCATCTCTTCTAAATATTAACCCATTGTATAATTTTAATTCTTTTGATATACCAAATACAAATGTTAAACATATAGATCATAATTCAAATCCCATTATTGATTCTAACTCATATCACAGTATGCAAATTCCATGCCCTATTGTCAATTATAACTCATATCTAGACCTTAGTAACTTAGATATTAACCCAAATTTCTCAATTCAAACAATTTCAGATATTTTGCACAAATATAAGAATGTTTTCTCTAAACACAATTTTGATATAGGATGCATAAGAACTAACCCAATTTGCATATCTCTTTCAGATGATATTCCCATAGCACAAAAGCCATATAGGACATCTTTTTACAATAATGCTGAAATACAAAAACAAATAACTGAATTATTAAAGTATGGTATTATTAGGCCTTCATCTAGCCCCTATAGTTCTCC